GCAAGGCAGGTGGTGGAACCTCTGAGCTAAATCCCTGGCCCCTAGAAATCTTTATTTAAAAAAAATAATAATTTATATTTTAAAAGTCAGTATTTATATTGATTCAAAGTATGTTCTCCTAGCATGGCATGCACACGCAGCCATATGGAAAAAAAGAAATTATCTGACAGCCAGTGGGTCTCCTATAAGTATCATAAGAAGACAGATGAACTTTTATCTGCAAAGTTGGCCTTCAAAGTGGCAGTTATTCACTGGAGAGGACATCAAAAAGGAGTTGATGAAGTATTTCAAAGTAATCAACTAACTGGCTGACACAGCAGCAAAAGAATCTGCTCAAGGGCCTCCCTTCAGGGCCTCCTGATCTGGGAAAGATGCCTCAATCATTCTCATCCCAAATATTCTCAGCTAGAAATCAAATGGGCTCTCTCCCATGGGTGTCAGTTCCTTCCATCAGAATGGTTACAGTCAGATAATGGTAAATTGTTCCTTCCTGGCACTAGTCAATGGAAAGTTATTAATTCTTTACATCAAATCTTTCAGTTGAGGAGAGCTAAGGCCCAGAAGATGTCCTCAAAGTTATACATAGAAAGGGAACTTTCTCAGACAATGCAATAGATAGTTAAGACATGTGAGCTCTGCCAGAAGAATAATCCCTTAACTGGACCACAGCTCCTTCAGGTATATAGAGATATGCTAAATACCCTGAAGAAGACTGGCAGCTTGATTTTATTCATATGCCAAAGAGTAAGGGATTTCAATACTTATTGGTCTGGGTAGATGTTTTTTCTCAAACTGGGTTGAGGCCCTTCCTTGTACAGCAGAAAAGGCACAAGAGATAGCAAAGGTTTTAGTTTCAGAAATCATCACCATATTTGGACTTCCTAAGAGCTTACAGAGTGATAATGGGCCTTTTTGGGGGAGCGGGTACTGGGGATCAAACTCAGGACCTTGCACTTGCAAGGCAGATGGCAGAACCACTGAGCTAAATCTCCAGTCCCTAATGGACCTTCTTTTAAAGCAACAGACATATAGGCTGTCTCTCAGGTATAAGACATTCTCTATCACTTCCACTGTGCATGGAGACCACAATCATTGGGAAATGTAGGAAAAATTAATGAGACCCTAAATAGACATCTTTGCAAAATAGCTCAGGAGACCCGGCTACAGTGGCCTCACTTACTATCTTTAGCTCTTATCAAAGTAAGAAATACACCTCAAATCCTAGGCTTCCAACTATTTGAAATGCTTCATGGATGCCCTTTTCTCACTGATTTTCTCTTTTATAGAGAAACAGATGCCTTTGTAAAAGAAGTCACCTCACTGGCTAAATTCCAACAGACTCTTCAATAGCACAGCCTAAAGAGAAGAGAAATCCTACATTCCAACCCAGAGATTTAGTAGTGGTAAAATCTCTTCATTCATCATCTCCTTCCCTAAGAATAACTTGGGAAGGGCCATATACCGTGATCCTGACAATCCATCAGCTGTCAAGGTAGGAGGCCTGGACTTCTGGATACATTGCACCTAACTCAAGCCCTAAGAACCAGAAGCTGTCACTGAGTGTGAGCAACCATCCAGATGCTCCTGTGAACCCACAGAAGACTTAAAAATTCTGGTTCAAAAAGAATACAAAGTCTTCAGACAGTCATCTAAGATGTTACTAAGATATTAGCCTTTCCACTAATTACTGTACCACTTGAAGAAGAGTACAATTCCTTTCTAGTGTGGGCACAGGAATATGCAGAATCATTAAAGCAAATATCTTGGTGGAGGTCTGGGGATTTAACTCAGTGGTTCCACCTTGAAAGTACAAGGACCCAAGTTCAATCCCTGGTATCCCAGAAAACAAAAAACAAATATCTTGATGGATATGTGGCTTGTTTCCCTTGTCAAGTACATCAGGACCTCCTTGGTGGGTATCCCCACTTCAAGAAGATGATTGGAATGATCTGCAAGATTGCATGGATGATGCATGAAAGAGTTCAGTGGCTCACAGTTTAGCCCATTATTACAAGTTGGCTGAGTGGCCTAACTACACCCTTAATGAACCTGGACAGGATCAAATATTTTTTAAGAATGCCACTGAAGCCTCCCTACAGACTCTAGTAAAACTTTTAAGTAAGAGTAAGGATCCTGTCATGGGGGCCAAACTGTAGATATCAAGATGGCTATTTTCAGATATGGGGTGATTATATATGGTTAACATCCATTATAGGACACTTTAGTAGAAAAGCCCCCTTATGTTCGGAACAGAGAAATCACTTCTATTCTCATTGGCCAAACTCTACTGAATACATGGGGTGGACAGTCCCCACACAGTGTATACACACCATAACTTACAGATTGAAGATGGTTTGCAACAGACTGGTTTAATCTCCCTGGAATTCAATAGGAAGCCCCCAGTGGCAATTATTGATACTGTAGAACCAATTTAAGGTCCTGGATGCCCCCAGATGAATAGGGAGATGCATGCTGGGACTTGAGTGGCTACAAGACAGGAGGGTCAAAAGTATTGACAAACTTGTAAACTTACCCTGTCTATGACACTGATGGTCTAGAAGCGTGGTTCACTGCTAGGACCATTTGGCTTCTATCTTTATCCCTTCCCTAGGATTAGAGAATGTCATGCAACACATCAAGGCCTTGACTAGCTATGCTCAGTGGGACTTAAAAGACACCATGACTGGTCTCTTTCTCCTGAATGAAGAAGTAAAGCTAATGAGATAAGTTGTCCTCCTAAATCAGATGGCATTAGACATTCTAACAGCAGTCAGCCACAGAGGCCATGTGGAGTCCCTTTTGTCACACTGCACATGCATCCCCAACAGGGAAGCACTGGTTCTTGAAGGGTGAAAACTTTTTTTAGATACAAAACAGATATAGATAGACACACGCATACACACGCACACACACACACACACACACACACACACACACACGTCCCTTGGTATCTGCAGGGGGCTTGGTTCAGAACCACTCTGGTATCTCCAAGACACACCAGAATCAGATGCTCAAATCTCTTCTATAAAATGATGAATAACCTACTTACATTTTCCCAAATAGTTTAAATCATCTCCTTTACTTATAATGCCTAACACAATGTAAATGATAAGTAAACAGTTGCTATGCATATTGCTTAGGGAATGTATAAAAGTCTGGACATGCTCAGTACAGACACGATTATTTCAAGTATTTTCAACCTGCAGTTGATCAAAATCCAAAAGGCCAATTGTCAATATGTAGATAAATATATGTGAAGTATATTTTTGGTATGAAAAAATTCATGGGGGTAGATTTAAAGGGGGAAAATACCCTCACAGGCTTGGGGGGGCAGTGCTGCTAGAAGAAAGAGTGAGCAACACTGCTGTAGGCTACTGGCTGAAGCAGTCTCAGCCCAGCCAGACTCAAGGGGAGGGGACCCAGGCCCCCCGTGCTTAATGGAAAGAGCATCAAAGAGTTTGCTGCCATGATTTTAAACTGCCACATGGAAGAATCTTAATCTAGAAACTCCATATCAAATATAAAAATAACAAGGCCTGAAGGTGTGAGGCCACCTGGTCCCCAGTTACAGGTAAGCAGAGAATGGAGTTGGATCTGCCCCTCAGTGTCAGGGGGAGGGACTGTTCCCCATCTTGTCCCTGCAGGCCCATCTGTGCTCCTTAGAAGGTCAATCTCCATGCCTGCCGGGGGCACCATATGGCCCCAGGCAAAAATAAATTCCCAGCTCTGAAATTTCCACCCCTCATTTAGGGGTCAGAGACTTGCGTGGATTTACGGACATGTTCTGTTTTGGTCACATTATTTTTAATGGAGTTTCATCTAAGCATACAGAAACCTCACTGTGAAGGTCCTAGTGCCTCTGATCTTGGTTCTAAGATCTTCCTCTGAAGACTTCACTTCTCCCTGGGTTCTAATAAACCTCACACATCTTCCAACACAAGTATGCCCACCTGGTTTCTGACAAAGGACCAAAAACAATTAAATGAAGGAAGCATAGTATTTTCTAACAAATGCTGTTGAAACAATTGAAAATCCACGAGTCTGAGAAAGCAAATTATTCCTAACTAAGACAAATCCTTAACTAAACTGCATATTATATAGGACAAATGATCAGAAAAAGATCATGATTCATGAATTCAAATGTAGAACATAAAAACTATGACTCTTTTAGAAAAATAAATCAAAATAATACCAGTCACCTGAGGTTAGATGAAGAGTCTTCAACCTGATACCAAAATCACAACCATTAAAATAAAAAATTAACAAATTGTAGTCATCAAAATTATAAATTTTTGCACTGTGAAAAATCCTCTGAGGAGGATAAAAAGACAAGCCCACAGACTTCAGTAAAATATTGACAAAGTACTGGTACCTCCAAAATATAGAATCTCTCAAAACTCAACAGCAAATAAAAAAACTTCAATTAGGGTCAGCGATTTAGCTCAGTGGCACCATGCCTGCCTCATAAGCACAAGGTCCTGAGTTTAATCCCTGGTGCTGAAAAAGAAAAAAAAACTCAATTAGAAAGTAGATAAAAAAAACATAAGGATATCCAGTTTAAAATAAGTATGCCTCTGCACCTGGCTCACGAGCGCAAGGTCCTAAGTTCAATCCCTGGTACCAAAAAAACAAAAAAAGTATGCGAAAAGACATCCAACATCATTAGTCAGTAAAGAACCTCCAGCTAAAATCACATTGGGCTATTACTACACACCTATTAGAACAACTGAAATGAAAAAAAAATGATAATACTAAATGCTAGTAAAAATTCAAGGAAAACAGGTCTCTCATACATTGCTGATAGGAACAGAAGACAATGCAGCCACTGTGGAAATAGTAAGGCAGTTTCTTATAAAACTAAACATATCCTCAGCAAATGACTCAGTAATTGTACTGGCCTAAATCCCAGGGCAATAAAAACGTACCTGCACACTAACAAAAAAAAAAAATCTATGCAGGAATGTTCATCATGGCTTTATTCATAATGACATATAATAGAGAAAAAACAATATTCTTCAATGGGCAAATGGTTAAACAAATTATTGTACATTCAAACAATGGAATATTACTCAGCAGTAGAGAGGAATTAATGATTAGTAAATGCAACAAGCTGTATGAATCTCAAAGGCTTAGTGAAAATGGCCAGTCCCAAAATATTATATACTGATATACCGTGTGCTTTCATTTATATATACTCTTCTCAAAACGACAAAACTGGACATGGAGAACAGATTAGTACTTGTTTCCAGGAGACAAGAAAGGGGTGGGAGGAGTGCAAATACAACAACAGAAGAGGCAACAGGAGGAGATCCTTACGATGATAAAACAGTTCTGTATTCTACTGTAGGAGAGAATCTCATAGAGCTCCACACAAGTGAATATATACAAAAACTGCTGAAAACTGAAAGAGATCTGTGTGTTAGACTTTCATCACAATGACAAAATGCCCGAGAGAAACCAACTGAAAGAGGGAAGGCTTACTCTGGCTCACGTTGCAGGGGTTTCAGTCCATGGGCGCTTGGCCAGGTTGCTCTTGGCCCGAGGTGAGGTAGTACATCACTGCACAGCCAAGGGAAGCTGCTCATCTCGTGGTGACTGGGGGGCAGCAAGAGCTCACTTTTATAACAAAGCCCCTTCCCCCAAACCCACGAAGCTAGAAATCCATAAATGGACTCCTCTACTGATGAAGTCAGACCCTTCTTGATCGGGTCACCTCCCAAAGTCTCCACCTCTGAACCAAGCCTTCAACGTAGGAGCTTTTGGAGAACATTTAAGATTCAAGCCATAACAGTCTGCAGTCTAGTTAACAGTATGGTATCAATGCCCATGTCCTCGTTTTAACATTGTGCCACAGTCTTACAATGAAGGAAGCTGGAGGAAGAGTCAAAGGGCTCTCTGTACTAAATTCACAATGTTAAGCTCATAATTACCTCAAAATAAAAGTTGGAAAAGTGTAAAACTTCTAAAGGTTCCCTATGATGTCTAGGACACAGCACTTTAATCTGACACGAAGGAAGGAGTTGATTACAGCCCGAGAAGACACTGACCTGAGATGCTCTTGTGTCTAGGAAAAGAGCGAGGGGCCGGACTCATGAGCATATGATTTCCAGAGATTATTTTTTCCTTATTAGAGTGGTATGAGGGCAGACAGTCAGGGAGCCCCGGGAAGAGAAAGGACCCCCAATCCTGTGCCAAAGTGTCTTATTCCTTTTTTGATGCTGAGGATGTCACAGGAGTGTCTTCTAGGACCCAGGGGCCTTTCTTCAGAAACAGGAGCAATAAGCCCCTCCGGAATCCAGTCAGTGCTGCCTCCCTGCCAGGGGACCCAGCACCAAAGATTTCTCACGTCCAGTCTGAAGGGCTGCATCCGGGCACAGGGCACTCCTAGGGCAGTGAACCCAGGACTCCTGGACAGGCCAACTCTATCTTTCCCCAGCAGCCCGCTGAGGCCTGTTCACCCAGAAGACAGCACAGAGCATGCACAGAAACAGCGGCAGCTTCAGGAAGACCAGGAGCAGAAAGTGGAGACTGCTGATCAGACACCTGTGGGACACATGGGGACAGAAAGTGAGTTGTCTCCTCAAAGAGGTGCTCCTGGGTCCCTCTCCCTGTTCCTTGACCCTAGAGCCCAAATAATGGAGAATCAAACTGGGAAAGGATGGTGGGCAGCCCCCTTTCTGTGGCCCCCTCTGACAAGGAGCCTCATTAAAGAGAGAAGAGGGTCCCAGTAGCTCTAGATCACTAAAAATAGAAAGAATAGGGTTCCAATAGCTAGCTTTTAGGGGTATGCTCCAGAGCCACCCACTCTGTCCCTTCTGGCAACTGACTTCTCGAAACCACTCTGAAGTCTTTTCCTTCATTTCTCTCTCCTCGGGGTCTTGCAGCAGCATCGCAGGCCTTTTTGAGTATCTTTAAGTGAGGAGGGAGAAAAGATTCAAAGCCCAGGCTGGAGCCAGCCTGTCAACACCCACCAATCCTCACAATAGCTCCTGCAGCCAGATCCCCAGTTGAGTAAAGAGCTTTGAAAGGGGCCACAGAATGAAGATCCTGAGTCCAGAATTATGTGGAGAAGGAGAAGGGGAGGATTTGAAAAGGAAGGAAGGGCTGTATATGTGTGGAGCCCAGGCTCCAGCCTCCAGCCTCCCTGTATCTCTGCAGCCACCCCTACTCAGCACAATCTCAGAGAATGTTGAGACCAGAGTTGGAGAGAAAAGAAAAGAGCAGCCAGCAGGGAGGTTTTCCAGGTCTAGTGTGTTACCACCCCTGCTCCTTATGCAGGATCCCATGGGCTGTGGATTTCCGCCCTCTGTCTCCAAGCCCTGGGCCCTCACCATGGGTAGCAGGTTGACGTCTCCATGTCAGTGCTGATGTTCCGCCTGATGATCACCAGTCGCAAGGCAGGAGTCCTGAGTGGAAGTGTGGTGGGAGTCGTGGGTGGCAGCGTGGTCCCTAGGGGAGCTGTTGTTGCTGGAGATAAGGTCACACATCAGCCCACTGCTCTGCCCATACTGTGTGCCAAGCATCTGTTTGGATCTGATACTTCAGGGAATCAGCCTCTCACACAGAGCTTCAAAGGTTCTCTAAAGCCAGACCCAGGCCACCTCCTGAGCAGAGCCCTTCAGGGACCAAAGGAGCCTTTCACATAACTGGCCACAGGTCACCTCTAATAAGCTCCAGGTCTTTAGGTCTTTCCTTCCATCCCAGTCTTACTCTGCCTGGGGGAGGGCAGGAGTTTCCCACAGGGCCTTCCACATGACATGGAGCCCCAGAGAGGGATTGTAGAGAAAGACAACTCAGCCTGTGGCTCCAGGAACTGACCAGAGATCGTGAGAGGAGCACGGAGAACCCTTCAGAAGAGGATTATTAAGGCTACTTTAACCCAACACTAGAGATAGTTAGATAGTTTGTTACTTGGCTTCTACCAAGACCATGTCTCAGACTACTGTATAACCTATACCCCCAACCCCATCCTACACAGGCTGAGGAATCAGCCACCTCTCCCTCCCACACCCTGGGCTCCTCTCAACACCACTAAGATGGAACAGGTATGTTTCAGCATAGAATCTCCCTTGTCCCCATGTCTGGTCATGTCCCATAAATTCTGCGGATAGTGCCACAGGGGTTCTTACCTAGAGTAACGTGCACCTTCACCTGCTCTGCAGGGTCACGTGACCATGCATCCCAGATCCACACTGTCTGAATTTTGCACCAGTAAGTTCCAGCATCATATTCTTGGAGATCTTCTATGGTCACCGTCATGGTGAGATTATGTGCATGGTCTCTGATGGACACACGGCCATTCTGCTCTACTTTCTCTCCTCCTTTGGTCTCCACAATGCTTTCACATTCTATGTCATTCTGTCCTCGGCACCAGTATTTGTTATACCCTTTGTATCCCTTATCATACTGGCAATGCACACGCAGAGTGGTTCCCTCGATGCCATTCACATAGCCAGGCCCCGTCAGAGACAAGCAACCTGGAAAACACAAGACTGAGTCCCAGATCCCCATCCTGATGGACCCATCTCCTGCTTCGTGCCTGAAGCTCAAGGGAAAATCTTCTGGGGAGATGTGCACTGCTCCTGGGAGGAGAGCCTGCAGAGACACCAGAATTTAGGACCTAAGCCAAAGACCCTACAGGCTGTGGCCAGGAGAATGGGTAGAACGTTGTCCCCTGTGAGAGCAGAACACTGAGTGACCACACAGGGACCCCAGTCTTGGGCGTGGAACAATCAAGTTAAATAATGCTGAAGGTGGGAGGATAGAGGAGCTGCCATCCTGCCTGTCCCTCGTCCTGCAGCCTCTGTGGACATAAGAGTTGGTCACGCACACTTTTCCCTTTGGATTGAAGCCTCTACATTCTGGAATCGTCTGCAACTCCAGCTTGTTCTCTAAAAGTACAGCTTCTAATTTACTCTGCCTTTGTGTGTACTTGAGGGAGGTAAAAAAAAACAAAAATGCCAGCTCTAGCCTCACTCAGTCTCCAGGGAGAATCAGCTTGTGGGAATAAGGCCCTTGTCCACAGGAGACCCTGACAGGTGTCTTTACACAGGGTCAGGGCAGAAGCCACTTCTCCATCACAGTCTCCTGGGCCGGGTGTGAGCTGTCACTATGGTTCAGCGGGAAAGAGGGAAGCTTCCCCTATGCATAGCAAGATGATTTGGCACATGGGGGAAACGGTAATTTGAAGCCAGCAGGCAAAATTCAGGAAGCTGACGTGGAAGAAAAGAGAAAAAGAAAGAACAGTAGTAGGTGTGGACATCTGTGCAGTTGTGAGATAATGATCTCAGCAAGATCCCAGATAGCTCGAGCAAGTACTCAAGAAATTCTGAGCTCTTGGTTAGAACCTGAGTGTGTGTGCACGTCGTGCACATGGTATGCGAGCACGTGTTATAGTTCTTGGTTTGGCTAGTGCATTCACAGCTGCTTATTAAATTGCATAAAACTAAACTTAAGGAAGGTCTTGCCTGGACTGATAATGAAAGGGTATCATGAGCCATGATCAAACCCATCTTGGTCACCTGAAGGTAAGAAAACAGAAAGTTCTGCTGACTCCAAGAATACTTTCTTCTGTCCGGCCACAGAGTTATCTGGATGCAGTATTAGCTGATCTTAATGAGGTCTGACATATTCCTGAAAATCCTTGGTGAGATTATGTAAATGCATATGTGCAAGTGTTTTATGAGTGCTTGCTGATTGCTTAAAGTTGATGGGAGCTAATGAATATAGGAGAGCAATCCGTTCCAAGGGGAAATACCAAAGATGTAGCAGAGAGATCAGAGAAGGCACCCCGACGATTTTGCGAATATTCCCAAGTTAGCTGTATTCTAGCCACTCCCACAGCCAGTGGAAAGAACTCAATGCTAGAGACAAAGCTGAGCGCCTTTTTCAGTTCTACTGAGGCACTGTCACAAGCTACTTTCTTCCCCGTCGCATCTGAAAAATGAGGACAACGCTATCTTCACCTAGGGCAGGGTTGTTCAGAGGGTTAAATTATACTATCGACTTCTTTTTAGATTCCACGGGAGTGAAATGGTATGGTATTGGTCATTCTGTGTTTGGTTTACTTCGCTTATCATAAGGTGCTCTGGGTTCACCCAAGTTGTCCCAAATCACAGGACTGATTTCAGCACAATGTATACACAATGTATCCAAGTGGCACATTATGTCCCAGGAATGTGCACAGTTATGATGTGGTTACCAAAAATAAAACTGTAAAACATTACAAAATTTTGTCATCAGTTTGAAAGTGCACACTGTAAAATACATAATAAATCAGATTTCTGTTTTTGCTCATTTTATATTGACACTCCCTTCCTCTTCACCCTTTTCTTCCTTGCTCCGAAATTATATCTCCTTTTTTTCTATTCCTTCCCCATTCCCCATTCTCAGACTGACACTATAACTCTCATGAGTCTCCTCCTTAAAAAGCAATTTTTCCATACACCCCAGTGGGTGTGGTGTGAGGAAGGGAGTACCAGGAAAGAAGGAAGAGGGAGTCTGGGTGTGGTTCAGTGGTACAGCACTTACCTAGCATTCAGGAGGCCCTGAGTTCAAATCCCAGCGTGGAGGGAAGAAAGGAAGAAAAAGGAGGATTTGGGGATGAAAAATAAGAATCAAAATTTAAGTCTCTTCAAAAGCTTCAAAGTTTGAATCCAGGTCAATCAACAGATGAGGAACCCTTGGCTGCAAATGCTCCCTGGATGAGAAGGTGAACTTGTGGAGTGAGAAGACCAGCCAGCTCCCCAAACCTTCAAAAGCTTCAAAGTTTGAATCCAGGTCAATCAACAGATGAGGAACCCTTGCTGCAAATGCTCCCTGGATGAGAAGGTGAACTTGTGGAGTGAGAAGACCAGCCAGCTCCCCAAGACCAGGTTGGAGGAGGTTTCCATCATTGATCTAAGCAACCAGATTTAAATAAGCACTGATCTGCTCGTAAATCAGCTACTGGCAAGGAAGAGGTGAAGCCCTCATTTGTTGGCTGATTTCTGTGTTGATTACATTCTCACCGTGAATGATTTTACATTGTCACTGAATGCAGAGAAGGGAAGACATACCCATAATCTGCTACTGTGAACTGGTTCAAGGTGGCTCCAACCACCCTAGTTACCTACCTAAGAAACTATGATGATTCACAAAATGTACACTGTAGCCTCTAAATTGCCCATCATCACCATCATCATCATCGTCGTCATCATTGTCATCACCATCATCATTGAAGACCCCCTGAGGCTCTCCCATGCACAATAAGAGGCATCTCTTTCAAACGTCTTTCTGAGTCCAAAAATCTAGATTATAAGACCTTACGAGACCTTGGAGTTCATCCAGACTGCTCATTTTATTACAAGAAAGTTCCTTTTTGTCAGTGTCATACAGGGATCTTCCTTTAAATCTATCTTTAACACCCACCATTCTGAAATGTCTGGCCATCACATCAGAAGACGGTTTCTGTTTTATGAGATAACTTGACCATAAAACTCACCTACAAACCTGAAAAATTTATTCTCAACTTATATCACACAGAAAAATGGATTTTCCTTCTTTTTTAAAAATTTTCACACATCTCTGGGGGTGTTGCGAGAGGATATCACTCTGTAGTTCAGGCTGGCTGCGAACTCACTGTGTAGCCCAGGCTGGCCTCAAACTCACAGTGATCCTCCTGCCTCGGCCTCCTGGATGCAGGGACTACAGGTGTGCACCACCACATCCGGCCTCAAATGTCTTTTGTAAAAAATTTCCTCCTCTGAAAGTCCAACAATTTTTGTTCACTCGCTCACACCTCCCTTTGGTCCAGAAGGATTTAATGTGGGCGTGAGGATGGTGCTCTAGACTCGTCGTGAATTTTCTCATAAACCTTTCCCCAAAAACCTTTGAATTAAACTTGGGCAAAAGAGAACTACTGCAATGCCCAAGCTTTCTGTCATCTTTAACATCTCCAAAATTATGCAAACTATTTCTTTTCCATCTGGCTATCATTCATCCTTCAGTACTGACTTCCATGAGCCCTCAGTGAAGCCTGTACCCTCTCAAAAGCGTAGTTAGAGTCCCCGTCGTGCCTTCTTATCACCACAGCAATGACTCTTTACTGTAGCAAGATCCACATGATATTTCAGTTACTGGGCCCTCTTATTTCACCTTTAGCTCCTCAAGTATATAACTTATGCTTAATTATAGCACCCAGAACAGTCCTAGCACACAGATGGCGCTTTGTAGCTATTTGTAGGATGTACGGCTGAATGCTTGAATGTATAAAGAGTGTGCAAATGGATGGATGGAGGGATGGATGGCTCTTTCCCTCCCACTTCTGCTTGCACCTCACCTCTGGCTTGACCAAGGACACCCACTGTCCCACCCCTGCAATACCAGGTTCACAAAGCCACAGCCCCACTCACCTGGGAGACAGAGACAGAGCAGTGCTGAGGGCAGCCACATGGTCCTGTCTCCCTGGTTTCTGTCCCTGGCAAATCCGGGTCCCAGCTGGAATCCAGATATGTATAACAAGGCCTAGAGCGTCCAGCTTCTACTTGTTTAAATTTCCTTTGTGCTTTTCTTATCTACTTCCCTTTTAATCTCTTAGCTGCTTCCTAATTTAACAAAAGGGGAGGTGTCAAGAGCCACTTCAGGGACTGAGGGCACAGAGAGCCATCTACTGAATTTTCTCTCAATTAAAATATAATGTTTTCAGCACACTCTGCACCTTTGTGGGAGCCAATCATGATACAACCATCAACAAAGGAGACCCTTTGGCCCATGCCTCTCTCGCCCCTCTCCTATCTAGGACTACTTCTCTGATGTGAGTAGCTACTTCTTCTCTGCGGCTGCCTACTTGGGATAATAAACACCCACAGGTGAACCCCATACTTCCCAACCACTCACCATTCAGGTAGTGATAGTTTAGTGTGTGTGGCGGATGTTTGGTGAAGCAGATAAACTCAGACCTCTTCCCTGACTCAACATCCCAGGGCTCCCCTAGGGCTCCAGACCCAACTTTCTAACTCCCTGTAGGGAAGCTCCCTCCGGTTGTACTCTCTGACTATGATTCATACTCTTCGATTCTCATTCAGAATCAAGGTTATAGTTAAGAGCCTACAGCCCGGAGTCAGAGCAACTCAAATCCCATTTCCATTGTTGACTAACCCTGTGCTCTTGAGCGTCCTGCTAAGTCATTCATCTTCAGTTTCTTCATCTGTAAAATGGAGCAGTGCAATATCGCTTAGGGTTCCATAGGAGATAAATAAGCTTATGTAAGTCAAATGCTGGCATCATGCCTGGAACATGTAACTGCTCAGAAAATGCTAGAAACCTTTAGAATATTCCCAGAGCTAACAGCAGCCACAAGCTGTCCACCTGTGCCTTTTCCCCAGCACAGACAACAGGTGGCTCAGATCTCCCACCTAGTGGATCAAACAAATCTCCAGTCCCTTCAGTTATGCATACTTTTTTTCCCCATCTGATCCCTGGAGTGATTTATTTTTTAAAAAGGATATGAGGGAAAGCCAGGCATGGTGGCACATGTCTGTGATCCTACCATTTGGGAGGCTGAGGCAGGAGGATCACTGTGAGTTAGAAACCAGCCTGGGCTACACAGTGAGTTCCAGGTCAGTCTCAACTACATAGTAAGACCCTGTCTCAAAAAAAAAAGGAAATGAGGGGCCAGGGATTTAGCTCAGTGGCACTGTGCCTGCCTGGCAAGCCGAAGGTCCTGAGTTTGATTCCCAGTGCCAGAAAAGCCATAAATAAATAAAATTAAAAGTCAATGAAAAAATAGGAAATGTAAGTGCTGATGGCTGAGAAAACACAAAGTACTTTTAATGTGCTCATATTTCATTATAATCTAGTAAGAAAGTCTAAAATGTATAGTAGGTGAGTCAATAAAGACTGTGACTGCAAAGAGAAATTCTCTATAACATGCAACCCCTCCAAATTTTAATACATAACTGAGGGCAAGTTCAGAAAAGGGAACAACCACATGCTAGAACAGTAAACGGGAACTGAAAACCATGGCATGAGCAGGATCTGACACCAACAGGCTACAGGGCACCAGTAGAAATGACTTTTGGCCTTAGGGAGAAAGGGGAGTCCCTGCCTGCTGTCTCCATCCCTTGCCCCAGATGTGCCCTGACCCTGTACCCCCAGTACGCTCGCCCTCTATGCAATGGCACCTCATTGCACCCTGTGTGCAAAGTCAACGTGACCAAACTTTAGCCTCTGTCACTGACCTCCCACCCAACGGCAACCAAATAGCAACTTCCTTCTCTTCCTTCCCCAGTACAGCACCCCCGACCCAAAACTTTACTCCCCACTCGTACAACTCTTGTAGAGATGCTGCCCTCAAACCGTCCTGAGCCCAGGAAATACCCTTCTTGATAAAAAAGAGAAATCAGCAAGGTAAGGGACCACTCTTATTATCTCTGAGTTTATGTCTGATATCATCGGTAAAGTTGTAGAGCGTTGAAAAGGGGAGAGATTCAGAAAGAAAGAGGGCAGCCAAGAGATGCAGTTCATGTATATAAAAAGATGTTCCTGCACTGGCCAATTTTTAGAGACTTCGAGTACATTTCTGCCAACAACGGGTAAAGTGCCCTATTTTCAAGTACAGAAGCTGGAGGACTTTGTTCCCCCAGGAGCTCTGTGTCTGCAGAAAAGAGGTTGCTGTTGTCCCTTTTGAGCTGAGGGCTGTGGCTAAGGAAAGGGAGAGTCCGGTGGATCTTCAGGAGGGAAGGGAGCCCAGATATCTGAAGAGGAGAAGAAAGGGCAGAGTTGAAGACAAGGACTGGGTCTAGGGAGCCCAGGTCTCTCTCAGCCCTGAGGACTCCCAAGCGAAAAGACAATCCAACCTCTTTGGGTCCAGAGCATAGAACATCTTCACATCTCATATCTAATATCTCATAGGACAGGCCAGAGCTGTGGAGAACAGGATGGGCATCAGGCAAGCCTTAGTCCAGCACAGGGCCCAGGCCTCATGGCTGCTCCTGCTGCCACCTGCCCCTGCCCTAAGGGCCTCATCTCAGACCCATCTCTGCCCACTTCTAGCCACTTCCAGGGCTCACGGTCCGGAGATTGAGCTCAGCCAGTCCAAAGAGGCCACAGCTCTGGACACGGTCCGTTGGCCTTGGTTCCATCATCATCCCCAAGGACACAGAGTAAGCATCGGCCCATTTTCTCATTTATTCATCCACTCAAGGAACACCTACTAGGCACCTACTGTGTGCCAGACTGTCATGAAATCAGGGAATCTGGGAACAAACCACAAAGATGGGTCCCTGATCTCATAAACCTTGTGTTTTAGCAGGAGAACTAACAGCATGCTGACAGCTTAGAGCTGCACACCCTTATTATGGGCCATTATCACTGTTAAGAGTTAAACTCACTTTCTTTCAAGGCATCCTTCAAGCAACCCCATGAGATAAAATTTTTATGATTGCCCCCCCATGAACAGATGAGGAAACTGAGGCACAGGCAGGCCAACATGTAGAAAGCCTTATAGCTAGATAGTGGAAGAACTGGGACTTGAGGATTCAGGCAGTCTGGGACCAGAATCTGTGCCCTCATCTGCCATCTACACGGCTGCTTGTAGGAAATAAATGCAAAAAGAGGACAAACAGAGGTTTTGAAAGTCGATCTGAAAGAATTAAGGAACAATGTGCCTAAGAGCTACCAAGAGGGCAGGAAAATCTCAGCAGAGATGAGATTCAGGCTGAGACCCAAAGGATGAGACTGTGCTACTCTCTAAAGCACTGAAGCAGGGGTCTCAGGTGAGGCAGTATTGTCCCCCTGGCAATACCTGGTGACCTCTGGAGACATTTTTGGTTGTTACAATTGAGTGGGGATGCTAGTGGCATCTAGAGGGTAGAGGGCCAGGATGCTGCTAAGCACTCTACAACACAGGACAGCCCCTACAATAAGGGGTAACTCGGCGCCAAATAGCACCAAGGCTGAGAAACTCTGAGCTAAGGGAAAAGTGCTCCTGGCAGAGGACAGCACAGGCAGTCCCAAGAAAGGGAAGCATTTGGTGTGTTCTGGACTCGGGGGAAACCAATGAGCCTGCAGGCAGGTCAGCCAAGGGAAGCGGGCCATGAGGTGTTGAGCAGGGCCTCAGAGGTTCAGGAATGGGTCTGGATTAAACTAGAGCAAAAGCAAGCACTGAAAGCACTGAGGCACTGTGTGTTCTGGTTTACAGAGAAAGATACTCACTGGGCAAGAGCGCAGATTGCACTTGGAAAGGAAGCAGGCAGATGAATCCAGAGGCTCTGCAGCCATCCAGCAGTGGTGAGGGCACAAATGGTGGCCCAAATGAATGGGCCAAAATGTACAGACCTGGGTTTTTTGAAGCAGAACCATCAGGGTTCCTCTGAGTGAGAGGCAGGTCCACTGGTAAATCTATCCTTGTTATTGGAAGACCCTAGGATATCATGGTGGTGCTCACAAAACTTGAAAATCAAACACAGAGACAGGTTGATAAATATAAAATTAAAAAGATCATTTGGGTATAGAAAAAAAAAATACAAACAATGAAATTGGAAAAACTGAAACAAAATGCCCAAAACAAGCCAAGGGTGGTGGTGAGCCAGACTGGGCATCTTGATGATTTGGCAAGATCCTACTGCAAAAAAAGAGAAGGTGAAGAAGGAGGAGGAGGAGGAGG